GGACTAGAGAGAGATGAATATGATTTAGACTTTTATTTCTGTGACTGTAACGACTCACAGGAAACACGACATTAACAGCAGTCAACGTTTCATTCCTTTAAGCAGCTCACTTAATTCCACATGACGCTGCTAAAAAGAACAGATTTTCTTTTCTGGATCTCTGAGCGCAGGACGTCAATCTCCAATCTCGTAAAGTTCTTCTTTTTTACTTTGCTCTGTCACTCATGAATGGACACTTCCTGGTATGTGGGGCAGGAAACGTAGCCTTATATGATGTTTTTAGAGTGGTGATTATGTAAATAACCTCCTCGTGCACAAGCAGCTAGATAGGAACAGGTGTAATTCATCATGTTTACGCAGCTCATTTACACACTTTTCAGGAAGATAGAAGAGTTTGTTGAATCTGACGTGACATGTTCGTACGAACCCTTTGTACGAACAAAAGTAAGAGAAATTTAGGATAAGAATATGAACATGTTCTTGCATGAGGCCCATTGTGTCTATAAAATCAATCTACTACGTTTTCCTAATTACTAGACACTTTTTAAAAAAAATTTATGTCTATACAGAGGTGTCCAGCAGTGGATACCTCTGATGAAGACAGAAGTACACGTCGAAACATGTCAGGTATGTCTGTATAGACATAAATATTTTAAAAAGTGTCTAGTAATTAGGAAAACGTAGTAGGAAGTTATGGACTCACCAACTAAAATTTGGTGGTCTTCATTCTCCTCTGGCTCCTCGTCAGTGGCTCCATTGTTGACATTGTTTAATTAGTAAAAGAATTATAAAGTTCCTGCGCCACTATACAACTGTAAACCCCTCTCAAGGTTCAGCGGACCACTTTGGAGGCTGGAGGGGGGCAGGGTGTGACGTGCCTAGTTTAGATTGAAAGAGACAGCCTCAAAATGTGTTGATTTGAGATGCACCTCAGAAAAGGGGCGGGGCTTGGGGAGCTACAATAAGGAGGACTGCAGACCACAGTATTGCAGTTCCACTTTATAAAGATCCCAACTGAAAGATTAAAATGTGAAAAAGAAGGATTTAAAAGCATGACATGTCTCCTTTAAATGAAATAATGAAGATTTGTTTTCTATGTAGACAATTTATCTTTTTTTTTCATGGTGCCTTTAAAATGCACAACAGCAGTTCTGCTGYATCCCTATCTCTCAACAGCTTTAGATTTGGTTGTACATACGTAAAAAAAATAAATAAATTTTCACTGTCTAAACGAACTTTGCCAAAATCAGCTTTGTTTAATTAAACCCACAGTAACTATAACACAGTTTAATCGACACACTTTAAGCCCAGTGAACATGAGCACAGCAAATCTATGCAACAGACTCCTATTAATTGGAAATGCAGTGACATGTTGAATGAATTACASTACACACTGTGGCGAGTACCAGTGGACTCTCTTTGTTCTGAGTGCTGCTACAGTGTGTCTGTGTGTGTTTGCAAACCCGTGCATGACATGCTGTTGTTGGAGACGTTGGTGTGTGTGTGTGTGTGTGTGTTTGTATGCCCAGTTTGATAACTCCTATCTCTAATATATCCCTGTCATTATAGACTATTGGGGAGATTCTAATTACAGTGAAATCCTGGACATGCATCTGGGCGGTATGTATTTCAAATCTGTCGCTTTAAAACTAACCTAATGGCTAACCCAATCTCTCCCTTCACCACTTGTTTTACTACTTGAGCTTTGTCCCCCTCATACAGTATCTACCTTTATTGGTTGGCTGAGAGGCTGACTTTTAGTTGCTGCTCCTTAAACTCCCTCTTTCATTCTCCTTCATTCTCCACCCCACCACCTCCACCTCCACCTTGCTGCGTTTCTGTTTGAGGTAGTATTTATCTCAAACAGAGATCAGACACACTGTTATTGTATATTTGATCTCTCTAAATTCACAAATAAAAAACATTTAAATTGACGAGCAGCTTGAGAAATGTATGTTCTTGTTTTTAAGACTCAAAAAAAGGACTTCTCACACAACAGTGCAATGAAAACACAATTTTATCATATTTAAATTTTTAATGTTGGGTTTRTTTTTAGGTTATGCTAAGCAAAATTGGTTTTTGTTTTCATTTAGTATTTCAGATATGCACTTTATTTTATTTTATTTACCGATGAAGTCAGTGTTCTGTGTAATGAAAGCATCAGAATTGACTACAGACATACACAATACAGCGTGTTCCTCTGTTCTACAACACTTTACCATCCAAACACACTATTAGACCTGCACCACTGATAAACACATGATTTAATATGGAACTGAAAGGTGTYTCTATCAGATGCATGTTTTACTCTATTTAATTAACATTATTTGTATAAAGTAGGAAAAATGTGAAAGTTTTATTTTGATGCTCCTAATTCCACAGGCAGGTTTGTAAAAACAAAAAACAATCTATGTTGAGGTGGACTAACARGTTGATTTTGATCTTAAAAAGATTTAAACAAAAGTAACCCATATGGTAATACTAATTAACATAATCTAATGAAAAAAACACTAAACCATCTTACAAAGAGGTTTTTATATATTTGTACCTTTACTAACGGTTTGGATTGATATAATAATGTGATATGGTTACTCACACACACACACTGTGAAAGTTTTGTGTAACTTCTCGTGGACTGACTCTTTCTAAACTTCTGACCCGGCTCTTAGCTTCAACTCTGAACTCTGTTCTTCTGTAGTTCTGCATTATAGTCCCAACTGGTTCTCTCATACCTGCTCAGTTGCATTAATCCCAGAGTGTGTGTTTGTGTGCTAACAGGTCAGTATTGCAGGCGACCCTCTAACCGTAGCACTGGTGTGTGAACTGCTGTGGGTAAATGGTAGCTTTGTTTGTTGTGTCTGGGTGGGATGTCATGCGGCGTTCGGAATTCCTCTTTTTTTTTCCTCCTCGTGCCTGTTGTGAATTCAGCGGTGTTTTGTTAGGGGCCAATAGTTTTAAGTCCGTGTCAGTGGGATCTCTCAGCAAGAGGCAAGAAAAGGTTGTGTTTTTCTCATGTTTGAGCAGGATCTGCAGGGTTTCGTCTCACCGGTGGCTGCCGCTCATCAGGATGGTCGAGTTTGTGGAGAACTGACTTTAAAACGAGCACTTCAAAGATCTTCACTGGATAACCTGATTAGAATATAGAACTTTAATGTTTGATGGTATAATATTCAGTAAACTTGAATCTACATTGTTTTCCTGTATTTTTTCTGATCTTCCTCTCTGTGTCTCCCTATATTTTAATGTTAAAAGAATAGATTGAGTGTAGCATTTTCAGCATTACAGGGGAGGATTTTAGCTCATTTGTCTGAGTGATAAATAATACCTCCTGGACTTTAACACTAGCTGTAAGGCGTTGTGTTCTTTTATAAGTCTTGTTATATTTAAGCCCTTCAGGTAAAACAAAAACAGATTATTTTCTCCTTTAGACTCTGCTACTTACATGTAATTTACCATAAAAACTGAATCTCCTAAGTTAATTACTCCTTTATAGTTAAAGATTCATTGAGTACATGATGCATTTCAAATAAATTTTTACATGATTTGTGGAAGCCATTAAAAAATGATTAGGACTACAAGCTCTAAAATAAATATTTTAAACTGCAGCTTTCCCTGTTCTTTCTCACTGTGATAGTCCCTTGTTGCAATTATCCAGCATTTCACTCTCCCCAAACCCTTTTGCCCTCCAGCCTGAAAACCTTGTCTCATTCTCCCATTTGTCACTTCAAGACCTGTTACGTCCATCCATCCATTTTCTTTACCTGCTTTTCCTTTGAGAGCCGGTTTCTATCTACAGCAGTCGCTGTGCGAGAGGCGGGGTGGGGGTGGGGGGGGACACCCTGGACCGGTCGCAAGTCCATCACAGAGCCGCATAGAGAGCAACGAGACAAACAATCATTCAGTTWCTCACAGTTTAGAGTTACCAACCTAACATCGAAAGTACTGGACTGTGGGAGGAAGTTAGAGTACCCAAAAAAACAGTGCTTAGGCCATTAACAATAATAGATTTTGCTGGACRATAAATTGTCTCAGAAATTATCGCGATAAACAATAATATTGTTTGGAGATCATTTTAAACTGATATAATGACACCTGCTGTCTCACTTACGAAGGTTAGGGAAGTTTATGACATTTATGTACATAAAAAAAAGGTTACGAACTGACCTGGATCAGAGATTGGGAAAACAGCACACACCAACATCTGCTGAAGATATAAAATCGCTTCCCACCTCCTCTATCCAATAGGGGTGTAAGAA